TGACTACTGTTGAAGGTTAAGAAACACGCTTACGGTCAACTGATTTGTTGTTAACCTGAGCACCAGGTGGCCGCTTCTCGTGTGTCAGTGAGTTAGATCAGGGTGAAGGTTGACACGCACGCAGCAACTTCACCCACAACTCAGTTTGTGATTTATTTTAATCGCCCTTGTTATTTCGTGTATAAGAGAGCAGTATTATAACCCAGAACTAAAAGACAAATGCGATATGACCAGTGGCTGTGTAGACCATGAGGCCACCAGCTGAGGCCAGAGGTAGGAAACACACCTCCAAGGGTCTTGCTTTCACATTTACCAAGATTCTATAATGTTGTCTCCCCTGGCTGGTGTCGAGTGAGTTTTATATATGTTGCAGGTTCATTCATCAGTTAGGTAGTATACTGTCTTATATTTTAAGCCACAAACGACCATAACCTTTGAGTTTGAAGACCCTGAATTTTCGCCATTTATAGGCTTTAGGTACGACCATCTCACCAGTGTAACAAGTGATAGGCATACATACAGTAACACTCTCCCCCGATGCTCCCCTTTATGGTAATAACGTCTGGCTGTAACACTAATAACACTAATGTCTGCCAACTGAGTAAAGCTCACTTCTACAACAGACAATCTAAAACAAAATGGTGTTGAAATTGAGGTCATATGTCAAGGCCCACAGGATTACCGAGACTGTGTGGGGGGAGGGGGGTGCTGAAGATGTGTGTGTGTATGTGTGTGTGTGTGTGTGTGTGTAAGTCGCCATCGCAGTTGGTTATCAAAGGTCCAATATGTAAGAAGCCCAGAGTAGGTGGCTGTCTTATCTAGCTTATAGTTTATCTAAGATCAGATCATTACTAGTTTCTTTAACTACCAGTTTTATAGAATTATTGATATTTCGTAAGACGATTGCCGACTTCATTTCGCCAAACGTTCTACGAATGTGTCCAGTATTTTTAAACATGATTAAGTCTTCCCATCTGGATGTCGCCTCATTTTCAAAAGTAAACTGGAACACCTGAGTTTTCACATGATGGTGGGTGAGACTGAGTCATAGAAGCTCCACCCTTCGGCGCATGTGCCGAGGGATAGTTAGTTAGTCAACGGCCGGTGCAGAGTAATAACCTATCTAAAGTCTCTCCAAGAAGGTTTTAGCCCGGCAGTCTCTGTATTCACCCAGAGAATATATACATGTACAAACCATTGCAGGACTATACTTAATCCCCACTATAAGTTACTACCTTGGGACTAAGTTGTTAAGTGACAAGTGACAAAGTGGACAGTCCACTGTGATTCCTTAAGTGAACTGGGAGTGAAGTATTCTGGGAAGCGCTCGACCAAACAAAGCTTCCACTTAACCTTCAACAGAGATGGCACCTACATGTGTATGTGGGGGTGCAGAAGAATAGAGAGAGTGTATATTGTGTGTATATAGAAGAGAGGGTGTGTGCATGTTTGTCTGTGTGATCGCATAAGAGGGTATAATAATAATAATAATAACAAAAATAATAATAATAATAATAATTAACGGTTATTGAAAGAGCATGGGAGCCGGAAGGCTGAAAATATACAGTTACATAATTGGGGAATGGGTCTCTTGATTTACAAATAATATACAAGTAACATAAGTGATACAAATATGATATATAATAACTGGGTGGGGAGAAGCTCAAACTACAGGGCATTTCAACATAGTGACAGTGCAAAAAGTAAGATTGACTGGGAGTAAATACACTGGTTGATTACACGTTATTGATAATATTTACAATGGTTGAGACTGGGCTGTTCTTATAGCGATCAATTCGTGCTCGTATGGGCTAGATGCGGTTGTGGTGTCGAACAGCATTTCTCGGAGGAGGGATCTCGGGTGGTAGTAGGAGCCGGTGTCGAGGAATGTGCAGGCTTCTCACCAAATTTACAGATGAGGTCGTGGTGATGGTCAGTGAGAGCCGAGTGGGTCAGTGTGTTGAGCGCTACTTGGTATGTGGAGTAGGAAGGGGAGAGAATAATCTTGCATGCCCTCTTTTGCACTTTTTCTAGGTGTTTACGTTGTGTGGCATTTAGGGAGGAAGACCAGGTAGGAGAGGCATAGGTGAGCTTGGGAAGTATGAATGTTGAGTAAACACTGAGGAGCTCGGGGGCAGGAACTCCGAGGGACTTGAGTCAGAAGAGGATGTGGAGACGGAAACTGGAGGATTTGACAACTTCAGTGACGTATGTTTTCCAATTTAGTTTGTTGTCTCTGGTGACGCCGAGGAGCTTAGTGGAATCTACAACCTGGAGTGTGTTGGGACCTAAAGTAATGGAAGGGGTGGGACAACGTCGGAGGAAAGGTTGCTGTGCATAACCATGGTCTTGGTATGGTTGATGGTGACGTGGTTGTTGGTGGCCCAGTTTTGGAGACTGTTCAGTAAATCCTGAAGGGCGGTATAGTGGGGAGCAGAATTGTTGACGCTGATCCCAATGGTGGAGTCGTCGACATAATTCCAGCGAGCAGGAGTCTCTCTTAGGGCGTCATTGATAAGCATAAGAAAGCATAGTGGTCCCATCTTGGTGCCTTGGGGGACGCCACAGGTAGGTGTGTGTGTGTGTGTGTGTATGCACAGGGTGGTAAAATGCATCTAGTGGCAGCATTATGTTAGTGTTAAGGAGCAAGCACTGCTTGCTTCCTCTCACTTTTAGCTACCGCAGCTGGCTAGCCTTCGTGGTGAACAGGGAAGCAACTTGCTTAAGTCTTCCCTTGCAAGTACACAGCCTCTTCACCATCAAGACTCCTGCTGTGCCTCCTCGCGGTAACACACAGTAACTGGGTGCCTCGTGGGCCCAGGCTAGACCAGCGGGGATCTAGGAGTAGCAGTGGGCCCCAGAGGGACGGCGCATAGACCCACTGAAATGTGGACACGTCCTGGCACCTACCAACCACTGCGGATTAACCTTGGTAGGTATATGGCTACGGGAGTAAACCCCGAACGAAAAATCTGAAGTGCAACCCTACATGAGGCAGACATGCTTAACATGCTTACAGAGCTCCAGCAAGACCTCAACGGTGGTATAGGCGGAAGAGGTGTCCACCATGGGAACTCAACGACCACACCGGCAGATGAAGGCAATGCAAGATGGACAGGCTACTAGGGCGAAACCCAACAAACTGGGCTATCGGCAGTCCATTGCAACTCTCCCTCTCCCCAGTCGTTGCAACACTTGCACCACTGGATCAGGAAAAGGGAGAGCCAAGATGTGTGGTTGCAGTCTGCGCTTCTACCTCACCACATAAATCAACTCATGCCCAGCCGTCACCCAGCTCAATATTCTTCTCATCATCATCAAAACCCCTATACCCCCAAAAGTCCTATGGCGACGGGGACAGGCAGAGATGACTGACAGGAGTCTCTAGTCACAACTCTGCACATGGGCGGCATAGATAAGATGGTCATTTATCCACTGGGATCTAGGCAGCAGTGCAATCCGGTCCTGTCTGTGCGACTGAGCAGCTCTTTCGAGGAGCCAGTCTATTCACCCCACATGGGGAGGGGGCTAGACCACTGTGACACTGATCATCAGCTCGTCAGAGCCAAACTCTCACTTCACATCGCCCCAAAACGGCGAAGGCAGCAAGCCTCCAGAAGAGGTTTTAACACTAAGCGTCTGGAGGATCCAGTGGTAGCACATGCTTTCAGAGAGCAGCTCAATCATAGGGTATTCTCGACACTTTTATGACAAAAAACTGCAGAGAGACCCTTGGCCAGATCGAGAGAATAAACCAGAACTGGTTTGATGAAAATGACCAGGAAATCAACGTACTTGTCAATGATAAACGTGCTGCTTTAACTGACTGGCAGAACAACCCTCAGTCCCGGTTCAAAGTTGATACCTCCCGCATCTTGATGTGCGAATTTTTCAATTCCATTGAAACATTTTATGGGTCAATCACTCATGGCACAAGCCCTCCCCCCCACTCAACCGACAGTAATTCCCTAATTAAAGACGAAGAAGGCACCGATGTGGATGTCCTGACTACACAGCAGGTCCCTCAGCATCCAAAGCTGACCCATTTCAGCTATCCTCCATCCCTAGATGAGGTAGCTACTGCCATCAAACAGATGAAAAATAACAAAGCCCCAGGGCCTGATGGAATCCCAGCCGAGGTGTGTAAAGCAGGAGGACCTCTGCTTCCCAGCCATCTCCACTCTCTCCTGGAGAATATATGGAAAAAGGAGGAAATCCCCAAGCTCTTAAAGATGCCTCCATTGTCAATATTTATAAGAACAAGGGAGACTGGTCAGACTGTGGCAACTACAGCAGGATCTCGCTGCTGTCAGCAGCTGGCAAGATTATCGCCCAAGTCCTCCTAAACAGACATCTTCCTGAAGCGAAAAAATTCCTCCCAGAAACTCAATGTGGCTTTAGACCATCACGTGGCACCACTGACATGATCTTTGCTGCCCACCAGATGCAGAAAACGTGCAGAAAACAGCATCTTGACCTGTACATGGCCTTCGTCGACCTAACCAAGCCCTTCGACTCGGTCAACATGGGAAGCCCTCTGGCTGACTCTCAGCCGTTTCGGTTACCCACCAAAATTCAATGCTGTTGTGAGGCAACTCCACAATGGCATGAGCAGCAGTGTCCTGTAAAATGGCACCCAGTCTGAGTTTTTCCCCATCCAAACGGGGGTTAAACAAGGATGTGTACTGGCACTAACTCTTTTCCATTTTCTTGGCTGCCTTCCTTACTCGTGCCAGTGCCAATTTAGCCGGCAGAGTGGACATCCAGTCCCGGATGAAGGGTATTTTCAACATAAGACGACTCCAGGCAGGAACAAAGGTGTTGGCAGCTTCCATTACTGAAGTTCAGTACGCAGACGACCTCATTCGGTGTGAGCGACCATCCATCCAGTTTAACGGTACTAGTCTCTCTAATGTTACCCACTTTAAGTGTCTCGGCTCCCACCTGTCCACCACCGCGGACATCGATGAAGATATTCAACATTAGATCAGATGAGAATCTCAAGCCTTTGGCATACTCCGTACCTGAGTCTCCAGCTGTAGGGAGCTGAAATTAGCTACCAAGTTACATGTATATTGATCAGTGGTCCTCCCCACCCGTACTGTATGACAGCGAGACATAGGAAGACAAGGGAACAAATGCCAGTATTTTTGCTGACATCAACTGTAGGATCATCGAGGCTACCATCATCCATTAACAAATACACTGGAATTGCCATGTCACCAGCATGGACGACAGTAAACTGCCAAAGCAGCTACTTCGCAGTCACCTAATTAATAGTAAACGTAATGCTGGTGGGCAACTGAAAAGGCATAAGGACAGTCTTAAGACAAACCCGAAAAGTGCCAAATCGACCCGCTCACCTGGGAGACGATTACTCCACACCGAGGCAGACAAGCGCAAACGCCGGAAAGACCCTGCTGCTGCTCATCCCGCACTAGATGTAGCCCCCCCCCCCACGTGCAACATCAGTGGACGACCCTGCCGGTTCTGTATCGGCCTCTCTAGTCACCTCAGAGCTCACCAACGAAGGTGACACCCCTAGTAACTCATATCATTGTCTCATAGCTGGATGATCCTCATACTCGATTCCGAGAAAGACAAGATAAGGGCATACGGGGAGAGAATTCAGAACGTTGATCAAGGCAGCTTCACTCCTCAAGTGTTCACAACCTCTGGTGGGATGGGACTCAGTGCAAGAAGCTTCTACGCCAGAGCTGAGGTGCTATCCGAACAGAAGCAGCAGCCCAGAAGTTATGTTACAGCCTGGATGAGATGTCAACTGTCCTTCTCTCTCCTTGGGTCGGCTTTGCTCTGCCTCAGGGGAACGAGAACATCAGCACCAAAGCCTCGAACTGGTTAACTACGTTACCGATAAGGGCAAATGGTTTCAGTCTTAAAAAACAAGAATTTACAGATGCCATTGCTCTAAGGTACGGTCGGCCAGTAGAAGGTTTGCCCTCCCAATGCGTGTGTGGCTCTTCCTATGATGGCGATCACGCCATGGTGTGCAAGAAAGGGGGGCTTCATATGCATGAGGCATGACGAGGTAAGGGACCTCACCGCAAATATGTTGAAGGAAATCTGCCGGGATGTCATGGTAGAACCGACCCTCCTTCCATTGGAGGGTGAGAATTTCCAACAAAGGATTTCAAACACATCCAACGAAGCCCGTGTTGACGTCAGTGCTCGAGGATTCTGGATGCGGGTACAGCGAGCCTTCTTCGACATCAGGATTTTTGATCCCACAGCCGCATGTCACCGTAACTTAGCTCTCGATGCTGCACAGAGGAGGAACGAAAACGACAAGATAAAGGCATACGGGGAGAGAATTCAGAACGTTGATCAAGGCAGCTTCACTCCTCTAGTGTTCACAACCTCTGGTGGGATGGGACCAAGTGCAAGATGCTTCTACGACAGACTCGCGGAGGTGTTATCCGAAAGAAGCAGCAGCCCAGAAGTTATGTTACAGCCTGGATGAGATGTCGACTGTCCTCCTCTCTCCTTAGATCGGCTTTGCTCTGCCTCAGGGGAACGAGAGCATCCGCCCCAAAGCCGACAGCAGTTGCAGATATTGACTATGAGGCTGAATGCCGCATAGATCTGAGGCTCAACTAACTCAACACAGCTAGAATAGCTACTTATGGATTAGGATATTTAATTTTACGGTAATAAAATGGTGGCGAAGGTATGGCTATAAGGGGAGGTTGGAGGCCATAAAAAAAATATTAGTAGTAGTCGTAGTGTGTGTGTGTGTGTGTGTGTAGAAGAGAGGATGTGTGTGGGCGGGGGGTAGGTGCAGAAGAAGAGAGAGACCGTGTGTGGAGGTGCAAGAGGGGTGACGGGGACGCACTGCAACAGGTCCAACAATTACAGCCAGTAATAAAATTTACAAACAAGGAGTAACGACGACGGTCTCCCTCGACACAACATACCGCGCTGGTCAACAACGACGCCGAGTAAACAAAGCTTTAGTGGACCTCACTAGAAACACTAATTCTGGTGCGCTTAAAGGTGGTCTCACATTACCAGCTCAGGGGAAAATAACGTATGAATCTCTTACACTCTGGATCCAAGGCAGTAAGTATTTTTTCCTTCATTTCATCCCAACTGAACAGCCAAAATAATAAACTTTTATCTAAATATAAACTTTTTTTACTGCATCGACTATGGTCTAAGTATTTACCAAACACAATGTATTTGCTATAAGCCAAATAATACTCCATAATGATTAATCATTTTGATCTAAGTCTGTGAGTATTTATCAGTTGCCTTGTTGAGAACTTTCCCTCTTCAGGAGTGATTCACTTAAAAATTACAGACGCCATCACTGACTCACATCACCGCTAATTGAAGACACAAATGACTGTGGGGTGAGGTCGTGTCAGTGACCTTAATACTGTACCTCGATATGAGAGTATACAGTAAAGCAGGAATTTAAATATTTCGTAGCTAGTCACGAAGACATTCTCTAGGTTAATGTAATAAGTAATTTTATTCTCCTGAACGAGTCTTGGGTGACAGACACGCCAGGAAAGGAAGTGTCTTCTTGGTGCAGAAGTGAGGCAGGCTGGACATGTTTACACCAACAATGTGAAAAATCTAGAGTACCTGCAGTGTTGAACAACAAAATAACATGATGAAGATATTGATGACTTGTGGCACAACCAGCACTATGTCCCACTGAAGAACATGATACAGTTTAATGCTACTAAAGTCAGTATGATTTCATTATAAAGGTGACTGCCACATTGTTATCATTGTACTGTATATAATGTGGGAACATGACTGTATATAAAGATGAAATATAAATAAAATTATTAATTAAAAATCTAACTAAAGATGTGTTAGAGAATGAATACGTCTACAGTACATCTTAATTCTACACTCCATTGCTACACTACCAGTTGTGGCTCACCAGGTGAACCTAACAGTCAGTACTTCATCTCTTGCTGACACAGGTTATCTCCAAAAGGAAGCTACTGTACATTAACATGGCTGATACATGACATATTTATAACAATGATAAGTTTATCAATAGTAACTAACATCAAAGGACAAGAGAGTCAAGGATCTACAGTATTGTGCACGAGCTGTAAAACTACAGCCTTGTACTGAGAAGCTTTAAACTAAGCACTGTTGTTGTGTCGTAGGGACAGTAAGAGTGGGGCTGACAGCCAACAGTGCTCCACCATCAGTAGCTGTCAGACCACACTTGTTTACTCTGGCACTAACACTGTCATCTGGGATTCACACTCTCATTTGTGTTTGACATCCGTTTGTTCCTGTACATAATTAACATGCCAGGATCTTAATCTCATGTTAAAACTGTACAAGCGGGAGCTCCACAATGTAGTTTTAAGCGACATTTTAAACTCAGTATTATTAAAACGACAAAAAGCTTTCTTATAACCGCAGGAAGTAAAGCACCAAACAAAACTGTAAGTCGCGGAAGGCACTGTCGAGTAAATTATATATATACTGTACCGGGATATATGTAATATAAGTAACATATAATTCTACTCCGTGCTCACAAAGCCAATGACTGCATGGTTCATTATTCAATACTGGTTCTCGGTGGTTCATGCGTTACATCATGAACCTCACTGGAGATGAGAGATCGCCTCTATAAATGACTCCGTCTGGCCACGATACAAAGACAACACACAGAATGGAGTCAAAATTACTGATGGGTTTTCTCATCTTCAATTAAGGAGAAACAATATCGTATGAACATTTGAAAATCTAAACAGATCTTGTGTTCAACATATAAATGATGTTAATATACATTTAATCAATACCCAAATATCGCTGGCACAACTAATATGTAGCTGTAACAGACACTACTGACAGCCAAACACGCCATCATCACTAAGCATAACAGACCAAGACAGCAGTACGAATTACCATGAAGACGTAACAGGCGTGAATAACACCAGTGTCAAAACAATTAAACATCAACTGAGCAGACACAACAAAACCCGTCTTACTAGTCAGTGAGGCCAGCCTAGTGGGTCTCCTCTCGCCGAGTAAACAACAAAAACCCTTCCCTGTGTTAATGTAATCTTCAATATACAGTCACCCTCGCTCGTGCATTTACAGGGGCTCGTCAGGTTTTGTGCAGTGTGGCAGCCCTATGTTTGTTTACATTCGACAGAAGGAAACCGACAATAGTAAACATGCTATGGAATCAAATTAAAACAACATTAAAACAAATACTTCAATGATAATGATTTGGAGAATGTTTATATGACGAACCCCGGTAAACGCACTAGTGAAGGGGACTGTACATATTAACGTCAATTAAAAAAAAAAGGGGAAAAGCTATAAGTTAGCGGTGTTTCTTTTGTAAGGGAAAGATCAGCCAACAACACACTATTCCCCATTAACCCGTCAATGTCAAAATCGCCATTAACTCACACTCACTGCTGCCTCCTTCCCACCATCCCCCCCGTCCATGGTCTTCCCCTTCCCCTCTATTGTATCTTTGGATTAAACTTTCTTTTTCTCTAATCTTTTAACATATTCATTATTACCTGAGCACACCTGACCACATGAACTTAACACCTTCCTCTAACGCCTCCTAAACTTGTATTCATTATTATCTTCTTCCCATCTGTTGCTGCTAAGATGTTCCTTCCTCTTGCCTCCACTTCCTTTACACTGCAGCAACATCAACACAGCCAAGTCACCGTATATCATCATCTCTGCCGCCTCAGACATGGTTCTCGTTCTACATACAAACATACAATTATCATTTCCTGCCGCTATTCTCTGTTACACTTCATCACTTCTCATTCCATCCACTCTTAAGATATACATAATCCTTCACTTTCCCCGTTCTATCCGTAATAAAGCCAGCATTGATATATCTCTACAGTATTTGTGTCCGTTACGATATATTATTAGGTGTACGATGACCAGAACCACTCACTGATACTTATTAATAACCGGTTACCTGCATAAAAAAATAATAATTGAGTATCACACGGGCAGGTAGTAAAGTGGTTTTGGCTCAGCTGGTGTCTGGTTTATGATGGCTGCCTCACAACTAGACTCAGGGCAGTTACTAACCTTTACCACCAGGGTCATTATGATCATTAACAATATATCATTCCCTGGGTTTTTAAATCTCAGTATGTACAGGTGATAACTGTGTTCAATAACTACAGTATATCGCCCACCCAGTATATTGATCGGAATTTTGTTTAAGCTTTATCGAATTACTTATTAATAATTCTAGTGACTTCAACAAACTCCCTCCTTTCATAACTGCATTTCCTATGTTTTCTAAAGACGGTATTATCGCCTCTCTTCTCCATCACAAGCTTCCATCACACACTCCTGTCAAATGTCACACACAAAAAAAAACATCACGAGGTTCTTTTTCATTTCAACTGAAGTTTAAATTTTCTTCAACATCAACACCGTTCTTCACTTAAGACTCACACCATACATGTAACTATCACAGTGTCTACATGTAAGGATTCAGACAACAGCCATTGGTCGAAGCATAATAACACAACACAAAAACTCCACTGGTGTCTTCATACAGAGAGACTATGCGGGTCTTGAGCCGTGGTGTATTAAGACAACATCTTTATGGTAACACAACTCATCAGCCCACAAGAAACAGACGGGTGATGGCAGCAAGTTACCAGCTAACACAGAAGCATCAACACCTTACCTTGCGCATCTTCCGGATCATATCGTCCTCGTCTGCTTTCGGGTGAGGAAAGGGAGGCGGGAGACCTAAAGGTTGACGTGATCTCTGGTCCGTCATATCTCCTCCAGCTACACTTCTCGGAACTGCAATACATCATTCTAAATAACATCCACAATGAAGGATAACAAATAATTACACATTAAGAAAAATAATCTAATAATAATGTTAGTTATTTAAACAGATGCATTGAAGAAATTACAAATGCTCTGCTGCTACAAATTATGTATTTGAACTATTTCAGTCTCGCATCACATGACCTTGTGTCAATAATCACCTGTCAGGGGGGCGGTCCTGGCGTCTGCGTCAGATTCTTTGTCTGGAGACGTTCCTGACTTCTCCGGGGAGGAGGAAGTGTAGGGATGATCTGACGGCGACGAATGTTCTGGTGCAGCTTCTAAGGGAACAAGCCTCATCTGATGTTGACTCTCAGCTGGTGGTGGCGGCAGCGGTAGGGATGGTAGAGTCACCGTGTCAGCCTCTGTGGGCCTGGGAGGAGTAAATTGTGTAATTATGGGAGCTCTTGGCCGTGGCGGTGTCACTTCAGTCTTTTTGTTTTCAGATAATTCCTCTAAAAGTGGAGAACCTTCGTGCAGAGGTGGAGAAAATTCGTGTATAGTGGGGAGGGGAGGACGTGGGGGGATTCCTATCTCATACTGAAGTGGAGGCTGTGGCCTGGGCGGCGTCGCCTCCCGCTCATCATCAGCATCATCACTAGGAGGGTCAGGTCTTGGAGGTGCACACACATACAACTCTTCCATAAGAGCGTCATCTGAAGCTGGAGGAACAGGGCGTGGGGGTGTCATCTCATGTATGGTGGGAGGAAGTGGACGGGGAGGTGTAATCTCATGCACGGGCACATTATTATCTTTTAGAAGTGAATCTTCGTAGACCTCGATAGGTCCCGGCGGCCTTGGGGGAGGAACCTCATCGACTTCAAGAACTGGGGTTGGGGGTCGTGGAGGTGGCAACTCCTCTTCTTCAACAGCAGGACAAGGGGGAGGTGATGCCTCTGCTTTAGAAACAGGAAGAGTCTGCGCCGGTAATACCAATTTTGAGTCTATATCTGTAAGCGACGATGATTCCATCGGCCTCACCTGGATCAGTGTGGGTTCCTCAGGTGGCGGCTCATCTGGCGGTAGAGGCCACACCTCATCAGGAGGACTAACACTCTCACACACACCATGTTGTTCTACACTTGGCGAAACTTGACTAATTTGAGCAACAGAAGCGTCTTCATTGGCATCCTGAGGCGAAGGAGCTACAGCTGAGGTAGAAGATGTACTAAATGGAAGACCGAACGGTGAAGCTTCTACAAGCAGTGTAGCGTGATGTAGAGCGGCGGGCACGGCAGAGAGGACAGACGGAGTGAGTACTGGAGTGTGGGTAAGTTGTGAAGATTCGGTTGGAGTAAAAGCACGACCAAAAGTTTCAGTGGCAGTAGATTGTGGCTGTGCCGAAGTGGAAGGTCGTTGTGTAGAAGAATCAGCTGCAGAAGAAGATGGTGGAGATTTCCACCTGGAAATATGAAGAAAAGTGTTCGAGAATATAAGAAACTTGCCAGCGCTACAGCAGCAACTGTGACTTTTGTCAGATATTAGGATTTTAAGACCAACACCAAAGTAGTTATAAGGAAAATTATTTACAGAGCGAAGTTACGTGTTGAGGGAAAACGTGATCAATTTAGTCTTTCCACGTTAATCCGACACCTTCCGTTCTTAGATAATTAAGAAAATAAAGAAATTAAATGTTCTTAAGACGAACCATTCTCATCATATTTAGATACACTGTACAGTTCTTTATAGGAAGGAACAGGAACTAAACCTTCCTTCCTGTTATTATTAAAGGAATCGTTTACTACACTATTATTAATATGCCTCCGTCCTGTACCAGTGACAGATGCTGTAGAGTGACGACGCACAAATACTCTATTACAACACTACAAATCTAAGAAGCAGCAACACTATGACATGACTCTCTTTATTTGGTAAGTGACGAGGAGTGTATGGGTAACTCACTACTGTACTGTAACACACAGGTCGAGTCATCCCTCTGGTCACTCGCATTCTGTAGTGTGCTGAGGCGTCGAACACTCACAAATGGTATGAACGAATCGGGATCAAGTTTAATAAGATTTTCCTAATCCAATAAACGGGTTGGGATATGGTGAAGGATTCGAGATGGTTCACTCAAGGATGTTACCACAACACACAAGGTAATCCATGCGGTGAGTGAGGTGAGAACAAGGCAAAGAAGGGTCGGAGTAAAGCAGGAAGACCGTGTACAGGGAGTCGGTCAAAGTAAAGTTAGCGGCATTATGTACAGCTTTTTGGAGCAGCATCTTAATTTATCATTGTGTCAGCATTTTGTAATATAACTATAGAAGTGATCGATCCATGACGACAAGTGGATTTTAATGGGAGGGAAATACGGGAGAGAGCCGAGTTTCTTTATTTCTCCAACGTTTCGGGCTACTTAGCTCTTTCCCGCATTACTCTCCCACCCATCACATAACTATAGAAGTTATTGGCCTACGTTACTAAAATACACAATCACCTCCTCTACCTGTCTCTATCTACATTAGTAACCAAACCTGAAGCTTATATACAGTACATGGCCTTACAGCAGTAGTAGAAAGATACGTGTACAGGTGTATTTACATATCACAGGCCTGACATCATTAAATGCTTGAAAAACTCTTGAGAAATATTCAAACCTGAAGGCGTCCCTGAGAGTCTGTGATTCCTGGGTCTTGTCGGGTTTCCTGATGGAGGTGACTTGCTCTAGCGTGAGGGTTCTGTCTCCCTGAGTATCCCCGCCATGTAGCACCAGTCGGGTCGTCACCGTCTCCGATGACACCTCCTTCCACGCCTGCACCAATAAGACAACAACATAACTCAGAGAGAAACAAAATATCATCTTCAAAAATACAAGTTGACTATGTGCTAAGTTGTCATCTGTAAACACTTGGGGTTACAGTTGCGAATTCCAGTATGTTATTGATAGTGAATACAGTACTCTTAGATACCATTCACTACAAAAGATATGAACAGCCCTGCCCCCAAAAATGTCCCTCGCCTGAGTTACACTTGGTCTTTGTGTACTGCTGGCGAGGAGAATGCCAAAAAACCCTAAATATTTAAATAATAGAATCTTCAGGCAGGCAGGTACTGGATGACTCTCTCTTTAGGGCAACAGTATACTGCCAAACAGGGCGCACACTAGATCTTATCCGGGAGCCTGGCCCCGTGCAGCCGCCAAGAGGAGTTTCGTACTGGGTGGCCACGAGTGAACCCTCCCTTCCTTCCACCTTTTCTCTCTATAACTCGCCTGGAGCAAATCTAAGTCCCTTTAACTTCTCCAATTCTGTCTTCTCTTTTTCCTTTCCTCCTGATTTTTTCTTTCATGTCACCATCTTATCAGCTTACTAATTATTCAGGAAGTTGGTCTGTTTCCTGTTATGAAGTTTATTGCCCAGTGTTAGTACAGGAGGAAATTGCAGTACCCAGAGAAAACCTGCCCCGTTTGGTAGGGTTACACTGGACATCCCCCACCACACTGCATGACGTCAAGCGGAGTTTACATTGCTAAACTTCTTCGTGATTGTGTTCTGTTTATAATAGTTATATTACCAGTGCATTTCACAAGCTAATTTTTGCTTCCCCAAGTGCAAAAATTACCAGAGACAAACCAACACAAAAAATTTATAATCCCTTAAAGAACTGTAGTGACTCTTTGCGTGTCCGTCTGCCAACCAATCAGCTACCTTGTTACAAACTGACCCTAGACCTCAGTTGCAAAGTTCGAGTGAACAGTGAATGACAATGACCATTGAGTTAGGATAACCGAATAATACATGGCTGGTAAAGTTAATCATAATCATTGACAAACTTCTGTTTTTTGCAGAGATGTTTATCAATATAGTTCTAAATAATATTAGTTTATTATGACACTGAAGATCAAGATACAAACATTTGTACATTTAACGCTCCTCAACTAAATACAAAAACATAGCCAGATAAGAAGAACCACAACTCTGGGACGGTGACAACTTCTTCAGTCGAACACCAACGGGCAAAACTGACAATACAGATTGTTCTTGGATCAAAATAATTATAAGATCCCTACACACATGATGCGGCCATACCTTCCCCGGTTTAGGAGGTGGAGGTGCGGCCTCCTGTGGCTGCGGCTCCACCTGCACGTGGATGTGGACGTCCCCATTGGCCAGCCCCTCTCGGCTGTGGTCCACTGTAGCGTGGAAGCCGGGGACTCCCTCATCTTCCTCGGCTTTTAAACGATCACCAGACTTGGATCGTGACCTGAAGTATGTCATTATAATTATAAGTTTATTCTGGTCTCTGGACCTACACTCAAAACATCACTTAATCTGAATCCTATGATCATGAGTTTCCTGTGAGGAAAAGAACTGACTCCCAGTTTGAGTTGGTATGAGCGGATCAAGCTCTATGTAGCCACCGACCTTGTTCATAACTTTTCAGATATACATACCCAGCCTCACCCTGTCTGTTACATGTGATGTATATAACACACACCCGAGTGATGCCGAGGGTGGGGTCGTAAAACACATTGAAAACATATTAATTCAAGCTCTCTAAGCAATCAGCAAGTCGAGTCTCAAATACTGTACTGTACATGGGGAGACGTAAGACTCACAGGTGTAAGGCACAAGTTTCCCATCAGAATAAAAACAAAATAGAATATCAGCATAGTACTTTAGTGTTTACTCTCTCTCTCTCTCTCTCTCTCTCTCTCTCTCTCTCTCACTCTCTCTCCCTCTCTCTCTCTCCACCGACCTCGTATCTTGTATCTTGTATCACCCATTACGGCTATCACTTCCCTACACTGTCTTCCATCACCTCACGCACTGTATAAAAACATTTGCACTCCTGTCGTGTTGCCTTCTCGGGTACCAACCTGTCTTCTCCATGAGACCTGACTCTCACCTGCCATGAATAATTAGGACCTGACTCTCACCTGCCATGAATAATTAGGACCTGACTCTCACCTGTCATGAATAAATAGGCTCTTACTCTCACCTGCCATAAGTACCTGGGACCTGACTCACCTGCCATGCACAATTAGAACCTGACCTTCACCTGCCATGAATAATTAGGACCTGGCTCTCACCTGTCATGAATAAATAGAATCTGACTCTCAGCTGCCACGAATAATTAAGACCTGACTCTCACTTGCCATAAATAATTAGGACCTGACTCTCACCTGCCATAAACAATTAGGACCTGACTCACTTGTCATAAATAATTAGGATCTGCTTCTCAACTGCCATAAATAATTATGACCGGACTCTCACCTGCCACGAGTAACCTTGTCTCTGAACTCCTTGAAGGAAGCGACAATCTCCCGCGTGAGAGACTTGGACCTGGAGCGTGACCTGGACCTGGTGGCTCTCTCGATAGCATCCGGGTGGTCCTGGGGCGGCTCACGCTTCACCTTGGTAGCGGCGGGGATGGTGGATGTAGCGGCGGCTGTGGTGGGTGTGGCTGTGGTGGATGTAGGAGTGGTGGGTGTAGGAGTGGTGGGTGTAGGAGTTGTGGTTGCGGCTGCGTCAGTGTCATCCACAACACGCGGGGTAGAGCGGCTCCTCGACCTGAAAGTGATGCAAAAGCGTCAGGTCAGTCAGTTTACCGGAATGTGTAATAGTGTTGTTTCCTTCATGTTAAGTCTGAGGAATTATCAATTAACGAAGTACAAATATGGAGGAAGGACATGAAAAGATCAGGGAAGGATCTGGAAAAACCGTGGAAGTGTGTGAACTGTTAAGACAAAGAGTTTGGGAAATAGGAAAAGGCAACGAAAAAAAAATGATTAAATATGGAAAAATCTGGGAAGCATTTATATTTTTTTTATTTACTTCACATCCTGAATCACCTTGTTAATAAGTACAGTAATTTGGGCGCTGAAAATGCAGAAAAAATTATCGCCTCATGCTGAAGACTTTTTTTACGGGATTTAGCCCACCCGGGCACAGGTCACTGACCCGCATCGGAGCCTCGGGGGCGAAATAATAATAATAATAATAATAATAGTAATAATAATAATAATAATAATAATAATAATAATAATAATAATAATAATAATAATAATAATAATAATAATAATAATAATAATAGTTTTGTATCCTCGACTATTGAAACTATTTTAAGAGATTATTTAGACATCTGAGGAAGAAAAAATTCGGAGGATAATTAGGAAATATTAATATAAACTTATTTTGTCATTACAAATAACTCATTAGCAAGATTAATAAAAAAATACATAATTTTTTATTTAGAACGTGAGTCAGCACTTTCATCAATAATTTTGGCAAGATGGTTTGTTCTGCTTCTCAAGACTCTTAACGAAGGAAAAGGAGACTTATATTACACAACTGTACACCATAAGGTTTTTAGTCCTTCAGAAGAACTACCACACACACTAAAGGTGGGGGCACACTGGAAACTTTCCTCTAAACGTGTTTGGCAAACAAAGAGACGTTTTGCGTCACACTGGGATGTTTTGTTGCCGCGTCTGCCCAACGCAACGAAAACAACAACAAAGGGTCTGGACGAGGTTCACCATGGAACACGTTACTACAGTTGAGGCCTTGCAGGACTGTGCTATAGCTCTTCAATTTCTGAAGCAAGTGAGGCGTCTGCAGAAGCTAAAGAAAAGACAATGGGTACGTTGTGAAGTTTCTTTAAAAGTGGCGGCGACTGGCTGGTCAAAGAAGACCCTGAATAATGATTTAATAATACTAAAGAAGTTTTAAAGTGAAGAATAAATAGAAATATGTCACCGTTTGTGTTAAATATTAAATTATTGTTTCATGATCTATTTAAATTTTTACTTGAAATTATATGAAGCTCATTTCAGCACGAATCCGGCCAGCAAAGCTCACCGCCAAACCGTTGTCCATTTCTAGCAACAACCGAAATCCTGCTGTTTGCTTGGCGTTTAGGCCAAGGGCCAGCAAAACGGGCAACATGTTTGGAGGAAAGTGCCCAGTGTGTCGCCACCTTTAGTCTACCCAGGACAATGGCTCAGCTGCTGACGAACTTAGGGAGGGAAACAACAGACTATACCTGGAGCGGCTTTGACGTTTGGCCTCGGCTTTGGCAAGGTCATCTTTGCCCTTCGACCCTGACTTAGTTCTTGACCTGGACCTTCTTTTGAGGATCTCGTCTAGCGGAAGGTCGGCCTCAGAGGGTGGTCGAGTGTCATCGTGGGTGAAGAGGTCCTGCAGTTCCTGACACTCGGGACAGGTGTGGTAGGTGCCGGAGGTGTCACAGGTACACTCAGAACACGTCCAGTACTCGGTGCTGACACTCGTCTGAAACAAACACAGTTCAGTCCTGACACCAACCATTGTGTTAGTTCACTGGATGATTACAATAATGACAAACAAATTACTTACGTTGTGTTCACTTTTAATGATGGAATTCATTTTTTTTCTGAACACTGCTGAACAAGATGGTTAACGCAGCCCTACAGTAAACTCACCTCGCATTGTTTTAAGAATTTTGGACCATATTAACTCTATATCATTGTGGAAAATATATATTAACACAACAGGTATAACCGTAGCTTACTCACATCGGTGTTGCTATAGAGAAGGGGTGGCCAGTCCACGGCTCGCGAAAATATATTGGCTCACCTCCTTTTGGCGTCATAATTAATGTTTGAGCTTTATATTTATAAACTGAAGAGCTGGAGCTTGGAGACAAGCCCAACAATATCTGTCTCTACTGCATTGTGAGGTCGCTGTCAACCAGCAACGTCTTGATTAGGTTTGTAGATCTGTTGGACCCTATCACTACTTTTCTTGAAGAAAAGAAAAGATCCTCAACTGGAAAATAGTGAATGGATGCAAGATCTGATGTTCCTTACTGATATAATGAAACAGCTACAAACTCTCAACTTGGCACTCCAGGGGAAGAATAAGATTATTTCTGATCTTACTCAAACAATTTTCAGCTTCCAGAATAAAATAAGAGTTTTTCAAAGAGACAAATTGACAAGAAACTTCAGCCACTTACCCCATCTCAAAAGGAGAGTAAATACATTCCATGATATTGAAATAAAAGACCACAAACTGGAAGACTACAAAGATAAATTACAAGGACTGCTTGATAATTTCCTAGCCAGATTTGATGACTTGCAAAAGCTGAAACCCTGCTTCGCCTTTCTTATAAATCCATTCATGGTTGATGTAGTCAATGATGGTTGTCCGATTCTCGAACCTCTGGTTACAGAATCATCTGCTGTGGAAATGGAACTAATGGCATTTTAGGAGGACCTGGGTCTTATGATGATCATAAATATCAGTCTACAGTCGAGTTCTGGAAGCAAGTTCCAGAAACAAAATATCCTGAATTCAAGAAAACTACTGTGCGACTCATCTCAATTTTCAGCACAACATACTGCTGCGAATCACTGTACTCCGTAACGAAGTTGTGAAGTGAAAACGTCGTGCAATCCTCACAAATGAACACCTGACGGAGCTAATTCGTACAGCCTTGACAACATTTCAGTCGGATTTTCAGACACAGCCAAGTTGGAGACTCACAAGACTTCTACTAGTAGTAAATAGCCTAATAATTGTAGCAATATCTCTTTACGTCATAAATAATGTTATGACAATATTGTAAGTTTGTAAGGTGGTAAAGTATCTAATGAAAATATCATTAATTTTATTGGTTTACTTGTTTTTCTTTTGCATATTTCCCTCTAAGTTTTGACCAAATGTTTTCTAAGACAAATAAATTTCATTGAAAATACTTAGTTTTTTACCTTTTATTTCAGCAATCTAATTTTATGTGATTGAAATGCAGAGTTGCATATTTTTCTGAGATGTTTCCGTAGTTCATTATGTATTAAACTTACTCAACACCGTTAAAACAAACATCACTCACCATTTTGATAACATTTGGTATATACGAGTACTGTATGTGAGCGTTCCGATTATTGAAACTAATTCAATTTAAGAGTTTAAATGTCTACATACATTAGTATATAATACTGCATACGTGTATTTCTTAGTAATATTTGCATATATTTTTTGTAATAAAATGTGTTTGTAACAATAAAAACGTGAATAAAGTTTCTTCATATCTTGTGGCTCTGGAGTATATGAAGATTATCGTATGCGGCTCTTGGGTTAAGCAAGTCTGGTCACCCCTGTTATAGAGTGAGGCGGTCCAGATATATAGTGCCCATTAAGACTGTATCTATCTGTACAACTGTTTATTTCAGCACCAAATAACTTTTTTTCCAATTCAGGATAACTCTTTAACTATTTACTAACACAGCTTTACGACATACACGAGAGGAGACTGAGTGAGCTTTCTATTCACTTTTCACGCCTCTCAGTAATGTACCATCATGAAACATAAATAATTAAACGTAAAATATAAACATATACACCAAGTTGTTTATGCAGACAACAAGGCAATCTTTTCTACAACAAAGTATTCTGTATATATATAAAACAGAATTAAAATATGTAACCTAAGACAGAATTTGGAGTCAACAAACTTTATCAACAACTTCCTACTTAACGTGCCAATAATATCACCCTGTTTATAGCTGTGTACTGGAGGGGTCTAGGACCACTGCCAGCCCCACTGTGTCAAGAGTTAGGTAACACAACAATATGCCTGACCTCACAACACTTAACACAAGAACGAAGAGTAAAGTGTTGCGAATAAAAAAATAAAAAACACACAATTAACAATACATGTATGGGGCCTCAAGTCCAGACGAATACATAAAGAAAAGAAAATTAATAAATAATACATAAATTAAATAATGTGAAAATACATAATTCGCTGAGAAAAAAAAATTATATCTACGGAAAGATACTTAATTTTCTAGTGAAATAACCCTTTGAATACAGTGAAATAACCCTTTGAATACAGTGAAATAACCATTTGAGTACAGTGAAATAACCCTTTGAATACAGTGAAATAATCCTTTGAGTACAGTGAAATAACCATTTGAATACAGTGAAATAACCCTTTGAGTACAGTGAAATAATCCCTTGAGTACAGTAAAATAACCCTTTGAGTACAGTGAAATAACCATTTGAGTACAGTGAAATAACCCTTTGAGTACAGTGAAATAACCCCATGAGTACAGTGAAATAATCCTTTGAGTACAGTGAAATAACCCCTTGAGTACAGTGAAATAATCCCTTTGGTACAGTGAAATAACTTTTTGAGTACAATGAAATAACCCTTTGAGTACAATGACCAATTACCTTTCACGAAAATGACAATGCCTCAGGGCGTTTAGTCATCGTACTCAAGGGGTTAGTCATCGTACTCAAGGGGTTACTCGTACTCAAGGGGTTAGTCATCGCACTCAAGGGATTAGTCATCGTATTCAAGGGGTAAGTCATTTTTCTTTAGGGGTTTGTCATCATACTCAAGGGGGTTAGTCATCATACTCAAGGGATTAGTCATCGCACTCAAGGGGTTAGTCATCGTACTCAAGGGGTTAGTCATCGTACTGAAGGGGGTAGTCAACATTCTCAAGGGGTTAGTCATCGTACTCAAGGGATTAGTCATCGTACTCAGGGGTTGGTTATCGTACTCAGGGTTAGTCATCGTACTCGTACTCAAGGGGTTAATCATCGTACTCAGGGTCATCGTACTCAAGGGGTTAATCATCGTACTCAAGGGGGTTAGTCATCGTACTCAAGGAGGTTAGTCATCGTACTCAAGGGGTTAGTCATCGTACTCAAGGGGTTAGTCATCGTACTCAAGAGGGTTAATCATCGTACTCAAGGGGGTTAGTCATCGTACTCAAGGGGGTTAGTCATCGTACTCAAGGGATTAGTCATCGTACTCAAGGGGTTAGTCATCGTACTCAAGGGGTTAGTCATCATACTCAAAGGGGTTTAGTCATCTTTCTTAAGGGGTTAGTCACCTTTCTTAAGGGGTTACTCGTACTGAAGGGGTTAGTCATCTTTCTTTAAGGGTTACTCGTACTCAAGGGGTTAGTCATCTTTCTTTAAGGGTTACTCGTACTCAAGGGGTTACTCAGGACATTTAGAAACATATCCCATTGCTTACATTGTTTTAATACCTGGACCGTCCATTGTATGAGTCATCGGCTGTGTACATGGTGAATAAATGAAAACATATATGACGATTTTACTGAATGAATGACTAACACTATCTAAACTATCTACCTATATACATCTCTATCTATCTTTCTTCATCTCAATCTATCTATCTATCTCTCTAACCCCAGAACAGTAACCTAAAATAACACTTTATCCAGCAGTAATGAGATGCACATGAAAACAACTCTAGTGTACAGTCTTGGCCTTAAGACACACAGACAGACATAATCATGGCGGAGCACAAACTGATTTAATAGAGATTCGAGGAGACGGAAACATTAATAAAATACCTGTACATTATATTTCCTTGATAAAGTCGTGTATAATGAATGATATAGTGAATAATGAGTTTTGTTTTGGTTACTCTTCAGTTTATATATAAATGGTTATGTCAGGTCTGATAAGGCTCGGCGTGTAGCCAATTATATTAATGTAACACCGTGGCTAAGAGTACAGATCCATGCGGCCGATTCCCCCCCCCCCCACAGGTTAACCGCTAAGTCATACAGTAGGGGCGATGTTAGGTTATATGTGGTTGTGACCCCTAATGCCCGTACGATTTCGGCCTATAATTTATTTTATTATTATCCCCCCTTATCGGCTTACTAGGCGTTCGGGTGGTTGGTCTGTTTCTTAAGATGATTATGTTTCGAGATCTGGTTTACAAGCCAAGAATTAGATTCACAACACTACGTTTACTTAGTAATTTAGTTTTTAAACTATGAGAATTCTTATATGTATATTATAATTCGATAGCTAAAACAAAAATGAAATATTATAGTTATCCTTCAACCATTTTCTATGGTGTTAGTATAATAGAAAATAAAAACTCTAGGGAAAACCATATTATATTGATGGTCATTTAAAATTTTATTCACGTTAATGTGTTCATTCTAGACGAGGCAATCATGTTTATATATTCAAATCTTCATCTATTTCTTCATGAATAAGTTTATTTGTCTTCTATGAACTGAGTAGAGTTATTGTGCTGTGTCCAGTTGCGCTCTCCGTGTGCTGTCTTGACTTTCCCAACTAAAGTCAGATAACCATTCCTAGCTGGGCCACACCAGTGACCAATAGGACAGGAGTGTGCAATAACCACTCAGCCACCGATGGTTAAGTTAAATTTAAGCTCCATGAATCTACACTGCTCTGTGGTGCCTTAAGTGTTTGATAACGGACAACAGCGTCTCTCGGCACTTGCCACAATAAGTTTTAGTTGGGAGCACCAGTCTTACTTCCTTAATTTATGAACACTGGGTGACCTTTACTGATTCTTAGTTCCGAAGAAATTTTCAATGATTCGGTGATCTTATAAACAATAGTATTATTAAAGTTGTATACCTCACGCGTTGTCAATAACCATTACAGGCTGCAGGACATCACCTTTTGGAGCTCCGATCTCCTTTAAGCTGTTGTCTTCATATCTTCATCAACATCCTCCTGGGACCTGGCGTGACGTCTGGTTTCTCGCGTGAACACCAATGCCAAGGGTTCATCGACGGTATATTCTGGTTTCCATTTTTCATAACTTGGTTGTTTTTGTCATTTATCGGTCGACAGAATCGGCAGCCTTCATTCTGCTTCTGTTGTATATATAAAACGACCCGAGATCTTTTTTTTTTAAAGTCTTGTCTTGGAATTGTTTTCATAATAGTTCCCTTTGCTAACTCTACCTTGACTCCCCCATTCTCTTATCTTCAGCTGGCTGTTGATCTTAAAGCTCTAGCAAGACTCTTCAGTATCTCATCCAGTCTTTAAAACGTTCCCCCAGATTGTGTTCAAAATATGTTTTCTCAAGTATTGTAAAAGGTTAACACAGCATATATGTAACTGGTTAATAATTGTATGGGTGTGTCTAAAATACATCACCAAATTTGCGTTTAATGTAATGTGACTCGCATACAGTTATCAGATGAACAAGATGAACTGTTCAATATCTAACATTTTAAGGAATACGTACGTCTTTTTCGATACACATGAGGCAGCCAAGTTGTTATACTCACAGTAACAGCAGCTTAAGGGGCAGCACTTAATACTGGGTCAACAAAGATGATGATGGTATGATGACTGCAACATGTAGCCGGGCGGGAGAAATGTCGATGTAAGAACCAAAATGACATTACTAAGTCTATTAATGAGATGGGAAGGATTTTCTTGGTCTGGTTATGTTGGGATAAAGTAGAGTAGATTTAGTTTTTTTATTTTTTGCGGTTTTAAACACGTTCGTTCTGTGAGTATAGCGTCAGATCACCCTACATGATAATACTGTTCATTATCTTGGGGTTTGTGGTAAGATGGGCGGCGTGAGGCGAGTTTCCTGGGGTTAGTTTTGATGTAATTATACTTGGTTTAGAGGCGCCTAAAACTATTGATATTCGGGAAAAGATGACATTAGCCTTTACTGGTGGCATCTCATGTGTCATAACCAACCACCTGAGAGCAATTCAGCACAAGTTCACTATTCATTTACACTTCATTATAACACCCGTTACCTGTATCTACAAACATGGTGAAGTAACATCACCACACTCAACACTGTAACAACAATACATCTCTACATCAACACTACAATATCAAATCCACACAACTGTTATTTTCCTCAGAGTTTATTGAATTTGTACAATGACTACTACTACTAGTACTACCTGTACTACTTCTGTAATACCTGTACTACACATGCACATAGTAGAGGTAAATACAGTCGGTATCAAGAGTGTAATTTTCCTCAGATTTCGATGATTTGGAAACTTTTATAAACGGCATCACAAATGTTCCTACTCATATATCAACAAGCTGAAGGACATCTTTCAGGAGGAGTGTGGCAAACTCAACGGTAGGGAGCCAGAGAGACATTCTTAGGGGATTACGTGTAACAACTGAGATAAATATGGAAGATTATGACATTTAATTTGTAATGTTGATGATATAAAGGTAAATAGTGGATGTTACTCTTGACTACTGCTGCTGTACCAAGATGTAGTATGCAGGCACCCAGGGCAGGAGACTACAGTGTGCGGTGGTGCTACTATACAAGTCTACAGTACGTGCTCATAAAGCCAAACTACATACAAACAAAAAACACATTATGTACTGCACTACAAAACATAAAACAAGGAAGTTAAAAACATTATGTCATGTCAGTAGTTTTATTATAAAGGTCAAACAATTAACAACACGGTCAACAAACAACAATAAATATACTAAACTCTTAACTAAAAATTGGTATTCATGGAAGTGTAAATACTTTGTACTGGGGAGTAATCACAGTAATGATTATTGTTACAAAAGAAAGAGGAAGCTTTAACAAAATATATTATTATAAACTTTTGGAGATATTTATATTTCCACGTACACAGTTTTTTTAGTGGTAAATAAAGAAAAAATATATATCTTTTAAACTTTTTAAAACTACAAAAATATAAGTGATAAAACCTGCAAGTGTGTGTGTGTGTGTGTGTGTGTGTGAGAACCTACTAGATCGGTGACGTCATTGCTAGGTTTGCCTCAGAAAGTTCCCTAACAGACATATTATTCTATCATTAGCCTCTCTAGCAGCCTCACCACTTATAATACAGTACAGTACTTCTATTCACTGGGTCTTTAATTAAACTAAATTCTCCATTAACTATTCCTTCATAACTGTCTTCAGAACCGTTCGTGTCAAGAGTCAACTACTGGACGTTATGTTTCTGTGTATTAATCAATGGACTTTCTTGGTCGACTTTCATGGGTTCTGTGAGCTTGTCTGAGTTTGGAATATTGAAAATTTTCTCAAAGTAATAATATACACTAATGTTTTAATATGTTTAACATGTTCTATTAAGCAGAAATAATCAATATGTAATGAAACCATTAATTATTTTGTTATCATTGAAGAATCTTCAGACACTCGGCTTCACCGTGCACCCGTCGATTAGATCTCTGCCTTGATGTATAATTTAACTTAATGGAGAAGTAATATTTGCTCTGTTTTTCATCCGAGTCTTAACAAGAGATAAAGACTCATTAAATAATTCCAGCATAACAAACACATTAGTTAACTATTAATTGAGCATTTAACTTGTTCATTATCCATATAAACATAATGTTATATTTTATAAGCACACTATTGTGTACGCAATAAAGTTATAAGCCATTTTTATTATTCTTAATATCTTTATCCATAAATGCTGCTTCATCAGCCATGAAAAGGTTTATGCTGACAACCACTAAACAACTGTCAGCCAGCGTGAGGAGTGTCAGGCCATCATTCAAGTCAGCGTCCAACAAGACGCTCTGATAACGACCAACTCCTGGAACATTACCTCAGCAGAGTGACACGTGTGATGTCTTCTCTTATTATAAACCTTCCGTCACCACACCAATGTACTGCTTCACCTGTGTCTGACATCATTATTTGTGGTGGTAGCGGCAGCTTCGGTCTTGGGCTTCGTCTCTCGTCACTCTCATACACTTAACATTATTACTGATACTTAAAAGCTAAATTCAAATGTTATGATTAAAACATATTTTATGCTCGTGAAAGTGTTATTAGTAATGAATCCGACAGTGCAGAGGGAGAGCCACTAAGCTGACAGCAGGTTCTCGTAGGTGAGTCTTCTGGCAAGTTTCCCACACAAGTATTGCGTTACATTATTAAATTAGCGATGGTCCGTTAGTTCCCATCCTTATAAACCCACACAGCTGAACACTTAACCACCTCTCTCTAGAACTTGTTTCCACAGTTGAACGCCAAAGGCCGATTCTTCCCACATATTAATTTGTGTACACCTTATCATATAGCATTTCATGGTGTATCTTGAGAGCTTTATAGATATCACTGCTGGAGATCATTTTGCTTGTCTTCTTCGTGTGGTCTTCTTGCATGACTTCTCAACACTAGGCCTAAAGCTACGGGTTTATGGATCTTTACCGACTCACTATACAGTATAGGGAACTATGTGTAAGTATTGAGGGTTTATTCTCCGAGATATAACTACTAAAACAACCCGTCTTGTTTGTATGTGGAAATGGTTGTGCTTGCATTACCAAACAGTAACAAACATAAGAGGAGTATAAGTCTGTGCTGTAAGAATCTGTCAACACGTCATGAAGTCTGAGATAATGTGTCAGTGTGTTACTATGTTAAACTAACATTCAACTACTTTACCACTACGTTATTTATTAATTACATTACTACATAACAACACTGTGAACAAAGACAACAACAACAAGTGAGCAGTGGTAAGAGGATGCACCTACAATACACGTACAGTACATAACTCTGTCTCTACCAACAATCTTCTACGGTCAGCAACACACCCAGGCCACAACACTCCGCCTTAACAACTTTAAAAAAAAACTGTATTGGATGATGTCTAGAGGTGGATGATGAGAGGGAGGTGGTGGTGAAGGACACACTAGAAGTAAGAAAATGGACAATTGGATATCCAGGAAGCAGCGGTGGATGATGAAGGCAGGAAAACTCGCTGCTGCTGAGAGGTTGACGGTGTTGTTACAGCATCAAGAGATAGTGTGACAGTGAATGATGAGTTGGTTGTGTTTACTCCGGGTTCTGGGCGGCAGAGGAGAGCTTGTGAGAGTTATGGAATATTAGGGAAGAATATTATGTTTGGTAAATTGATTTCATGTGAAACTTTTAGTATGAAGCAAATTTTGGGGGGGACGTGTAAGACCTATTTGTGTGACTTGATGAAGACAAACCCATGAGATCACTGAACAGGCCTGGGTGTGTTGCATGTGCCAGTTACTACAGCGGGTGCGCATGCGCTATGCGCTAGTTGTCAGCAGGGAGTTGTGCTGCATTTTGGTGCTGGGAGAAGCCTGGGGTGCTGGATGGTGCTGGGTGGAACTGGGAGTAGCCCGGGGTGCTGGGTGGAACTGGGAGAGGCCTGGGGTGCTGGGAGAAGCCTGGGGTGCTGGGAGAAGCCTGGGGTGCTGGGGGAAGCCTGGGGTGCTGGGTGCACACATGTAGGGGAGGATGACGGTGCCACACGCATCACTACATCATCACCACCGGCCTGGTTGATGACCTCTCAGAAAGCCGAACTGACCTCGTGTTCGGTGTCAGGACGGACGTGTGTGTCGCGAGGCGGGGATGTGGTGGGGGAGGTGGCGGCGGTGGCGGCGGCGGCGGCTGAGGGCAACATGAGGTCGTCCAGCTGCTGGGCCCGGGCTGTGATGTGCTGGATACGCTCGCTGATGGACTCCTGGGCCAACAGGTTCTCGTTGTGCTCCCTCACACTGAAACAACAACCACCTCAGTATACACAGTAACCGCACCGTGTTTAACATAATAATAATAATAATAATAATAATAATAATAATAATAATAATAATAATAATAATAATAATAATAATAATAATAATAATAATAATAATAATAATAATAATAATAATAATAATAATAATAAACACAGACAAAAAAACACAAAAATATTGTATAAAGAAAAACAATACTGAATAATGACATACTGTACATAACAAACTGTACATATATGAATGAAAAAGTGCTAAATTATTTGTATATCCTATAATTAAAAGTGAAGGAGACGAGAAGGAAAATTGAAAAGAGAGAGAGAGAGACTGTGTGTGTGTATGTGTGTGCCGACTCCCCAGCCCGATCCTCTACGGGCAGCGAAACGAGCCAAGCCGCAGCCCTGGAGGACAATGCAAAAGGTACAAAGACCAACTCAGAATGAAGCTCAAAAAATTTAACATTCCTGCAAAGGATCTTGAAACTATCGCATCCAACAGTGGTATATGATGTTCCACCTGTACCCAAGGCGTCAAACATCTCCAGAACGAGCGTAATGGGGCCAGATGTGTGCGTAGGGAAAGGAGACACAATCGCACTCCCAGAGACCTCCCACCCAACCTGGAGCTGTCATGCCCACCCAATGTGTGATAGAGTCTGTGGGTCAAGGACCGGACTCCACAGCCTCATCCAGTGGCACCGTCGACAACATCCCTAGTTCACCGCTCATCGTCGATTTCATAATGATGCCGAGTCATCAATGGCTACGACGGACAGCCTTAAGCAAGTGTGTGTGTAAAGGAACACCTGTGATACACTAACCACCATCATGTTATCACAACCCAACATCAAAACATTTATAAGCATTATGTAAGTATTTCCTCCATAAAACGATACAAATAATATATAATAAAGACAATTTACAATTTCAATTTTCATTCTTTGGAAGTTTAACTATTTTTGTTTGCATTTACATTTATTTACACTTATGTTTCTTGTTATCTATAAGTGAAACTATTTTACTTGTTTAACGTCTTTGTAATCTTTTGGTGACACTTGATCGTAACATATGGTGGTGGTGAGGCACTATGACCCTCCCTCAGTAAGTGGCATTACTGAGGGCCTGGCACAGTGCCTCTGTCTACCTGCTGGCCAACAACACCGCCTCACGCATCTCATAACCTCAACTCCTGGCCAAGCGTAGATGACGCCAACCTCACCCACCACCCACACACCCACACACACACACACACACACACACACACAAGGAGGAGTAGTTTAATAATGAAATAATAGTTCAGTAATATTTAGGTATAAGGTTCAGGGAGATTGAGTCTCACGTGGACAGTATCATAACACGTAGTGTTTTAAATAGTATACGAGTGGATATGTAAATAAAATGTCCTTAAGGGTTCACATGTGCCACGATACAGACTTTGGTGTGTGTGTGTCTGTGTGTGTGTGTGTGTGTGTGTGTGATTGCCAAGTGGGTTAGGCGCCTCTGTCTGCCTACACGTAGATAGAACAGATGAAGGTCGTAGAGAGAGTCGTAGTGTGTGTGTGTGTGTGTGTGTGTGTGTGTGTGTGTGTGTGTGTGTGTGTGTGTGTGTGTGTGTGCTGTGTGGGGTAGTGAAAGTGGTGGTGATGGTGAGGTAGGGAGGTGAGGTGAAACAGTGAGACGTGAGATAAAGGTTGGTGGAGACACTCTACCTTCCCTCACACCTGTATACCTGCCCAGAATAAGGTACACCCGGTGCCAGAGTGCCAGTGCCAAGCAGTAACCATCCATCAGGAGATCAGTTAGGAGTTCCCACAATATTACGTTGCTGTAACATCATCACTACCTCACATACTGTAGTGTACCACCTTCCATCACCACCACACTACCCTCACCTTCCATCACCACCACACTACCCTCACCTTCCATCACCACCACACTACCCTCACCTTCCATCACCACCACACTACCCTCACCTTCCATCACCACCACACTACCCTCACCTTCCATCACCACCACACTACCCTCACCTTCCATCACCACCACACTACCCTCACCTTCCATCACCACCACACTACCCTCACAACCACCACCAATAACAGTAACACCCTCCTGCCACGGTCAGAAATGTTAGGTCGTCTCACACCCACCTGTTACCTGTGTTAAGTCCTCCCCCAGCAGTTTCTCCCTCCTCTTGGTTGTGTATCAGGGAGAAGCTCTTGAAATTTCATGTGATTTAGAGATTTTTTTTCTTAATAATAAAATAAACATAAAATTATTCAGAAAAGACCAGCGTGAATACTAATGTGAAAATAGGAATCTGTAATATAGTGTAATTACAGAGTACAGTGTGTTTATAAAGCTACACACACACACACACACACACACACACACACTTCAACAAGGAGGGAGGGTCAATGCTCCCAAGTCCCCCCCACAAAAACACGAAACAGGCAACTTCCAAAACAGTGAACAGACCCCTCCACACACCTTCCCTCCCCAAGTAAACTATCCTTAAATATATTAACACATTTTATTTTTTTAGATCAGACAAAGAAAAACAGGTGTAAGGCGAAGTAGTTATAGTTTTTGCCAATTAAGAGGTAGAGGAGGAAGGAGGCACCATGTATCTTGGCACCATAATCTCGGCAGGATGTTGGCACTGGCCCTACATACGGGAGCTGCATTCTCTAGTTGCACCACCACAAAACCTCACACTTTACGTAAACCCAAACAAAAATGTGTCTAATTCATGTCGTGTGAGCCATTAAAACATGACTGGGTGACTGACCACACGAGCAAGACATAAAGGCATAGACATGACCAAAGTCTTAAGCTACATAAGGTGTGAGAGAGAGAGAGAGAGAGACTCGCATAGTTTAGATACCCTGCAGCATAGCCTCCACCAAGCGGCACCTTTAAGGGATAGACCAAAGACTGTAACAGGAATTTTGTCCATAACACGAACAAGTCTTCTGGCAGCCTTAGGTAACACAGCCTCGAATTTTTTTTGTAAGAAAAGAAAAAAAAATCTTGTTGGCCTGCTGTGAGGCGGAGGAGGACATATGTCTCACACAAACACAAGATACAGCCTCACCCAGACGCTTATACAGCAGCCTTTTCACGGACATTAGTTCAGTAACTCATATTTGGTGTCAGACTTCACAAATGACGCACAATATATCAAGATGCTGGACAACACGTAGGTTACCAGAGTGTCTGAAGGTGTAGGGGAGTGTCTGAAGGTGTAGGGGAGTGTCTGAAGGTGTAGAGGAGTGTCTGAAGGTTTAGGGGAGTGTCTGAAGGTGTAGAGGAGTGTCTGAAGGTGTAGGGGAGTGTCTGAAGGTGTAGGGGAGTGTCTGAAGGTGTTAGTGTCTGAAGGTGTGTAGTGTCTGAAGGTGTAGAGGAGTGTCTGAAGGTGGGAGGTGTCTGAAGGTGTAGAGAGTGTCTGAAGGTGTAGTCTGAAGGTGTAGAGGTGTCTGAAGGTGTGGGGAGTGTCTGGGTGTAGGGGAGTGTCTGAAGGTGTAGGGAGTGTCTGAAGGGAGTGTCGTCTAGGGGAGTGAGGAGTGTCTGAAGGTGTAGACTGAAGGTGTGTCTGAAGAGTGTGGGGGAGTGTCTGAAGGTGTCATTAATGTCTGAAGGTGTAAAGAGTGTCTGAAGGTGTAAGTGTCAAAGAGTGTCTTCACAAGTGTCGTCAGAGAGTGTCTGAAGGTGTAGAGGAGTGTCTGAGGTGTGGGAGTGTCTGAGGTGTAGGGAGGTGTCCTGAGTGTCTGAAGTAGGAGTGGAGTGTCTGTGGAGTGTCTGAAGGTGTAGGGGAGTGTCTGAAGAGGAGAGGTGTGGGGAGTGTCTGAAGGTGTGGGGAGTGTCTGAAGGTGTAGGTCTGAAGGTGTAGGGGAGTGTCTGAAGGAGTGTGAAGGTGTAGGGAGTGTCTGAAGGTGTAGAGGGGAAGGTGTGTCTGAAGGTGTAGAGTGTCTGAAGTGTGTGGGGAGTGTCTCTGAAGGTGTAGAAGAGTGTCTGAAGGTGTAGGGAGTGTCTGAAGGTGAGGGGAGTGTCTGAAGGTGTAGAGGAGTGTCTGAAGAGTGTCTGAAGGTGGGAGTGTCTGAAGGTGTAGGGGAGTGTCTGAAGGTGTAGTGTCTGAAGGGTGTCTGAAGGTGTCTGAAGGTGTCTGAAGGTGTAGAGGAGTGTCTCTGTGAGGAGTGTCTGAAGTGTGTAAGAGTGCGGAGTGTCTGAAGGTGTAGGGAGTGTCTGAAGGTGTAGAGGAGTGTCTGAAGTGTCTGAAGAGGTGTAGAGGAGTGTCTGAAGGTGTAGAGGAGTGTCTGAAGGTGTAGAGGAGTGTCTGAAGGTGTAGGGAGTGTCTGAAGAGTGTCTGAAGTGTGGAAGGGTGAGAAGGTGTAGGGGAGTGTCTGAGGGGTGTCTGAGTGTGTGGGGAGTGTCTGTCTCTGGAAGGAAGGTAGGGAGTGTCACAGGGGTGGGGAGTGTCTGTGTGTGTGGGGAGTGTGTCTGAAGGTGTAGAGGAGTGTCTGAAGGTGTTCTAAGGTGTGAAGGTGTAGGTGTCTGAAGGTGTTGTCTGAAGGTGTGTAGGGGAGAAGGTGTTTGAAGGTGTGTCTGAAGGTGTAGGGGAGTGTCTGAAGGTGTAGGGGAGTGTCTGAAGGTGTAGGGGAGTGTCTGAAGGTGTAGGGGGGTAGGAACAAAGTGTAAGGGAACGAGTCATGCTGCCAGGATACACACACATCACCTTCTGGGCGCCCCAGCTCACTACACCAAGTCTTAGCACCACCAAAATGCCTCAAGATTGTAAACAGCGACTGTCTGGCATCTCAAGACAGGTGAAGCAGGTGGCACTTCCCTCTGGAAGGTGCCACGTGAGATTAAATGTAAATAAACAATACTCCTTCATTAAACGATACTGCTTCATTATACACACATACAGTACTAGTTCATTATACACACACACGATACTGCTTCAATATACACACACGATACCGCTTC